CTTGGATGTGCAAGTGGTGTAATGGGTAATGGCTTGGATTGTTAATCAAAGAGCCAAGTTCTAATTTCAGTTAAGTTTATTATATTCACTTAGGAAAGGTATGAATCCACCTTTTCTCCACACAGCTATGGGTTAAGTAGTAAGAACTGTATTACTAAACTGTTATTGTCTCAAAAAATATTGAATACAAATATTTAGATTTATATGCCACTAAACAAAAATACCCAACCAAACAAACTAATGACCACATCTTTCTTATTACTATCATAATATTTCAACCATTGTGTCCTTCAGGTGTTTGTTAATCCAAGTAAACTTTAAATTTTGACCTGAACTCTTTATTTAATCTCTGGGGGTAGATTGTACTCATTCCACAGTTCATATTTAGGAATATTTCTTGTTTTGTTCTTTTTAGTACTGCTTAGTTATTGCTAGTCTTGTTTCCCCTGAAAATAACAAATGTTGTTAACAGATATGAATATATTAAAATGTTTTATCATATTTTCATTGAATTAGGCTTGAAATAAGTGAGGTGTTTTGTTGCTTTAACTGGAAAGAACACCAAAGTTTTTGACTCTGAATAAATTCCATATTGAAGGATTTTTAAAAGCTTTCACCATCAGTTCCAACAGATAAACATTTCATATGACCAGAATGAATTAATCTTATTTATTTTTTCCCCTTGTGTTCATAAACTAATCTTATTTCCTTTACTGATCATTTCAAAAAATACTTTTTCTCCAGCAATACCAAACATCACAATTTTGTAAAGATACTGCCAGGATTATCCATGAAAAATTACTCTTAAAACTGCCTTTCTCTTCTTCTGCTAAGTAATGGAGATGGTAGGCACAGAAATATCAAATACTATAAATGACAGTTTCTTGCACTGGACATGACCCAGGGTTCATCCCAAAGCATGGATTGTGTCGACACTCTTTTCTGGCCAAATCTTGTCATTGATAAATCTCTGACTGACCATTAGCAAAACCAAAGCTGTTCAGCTGAATTTTGGGGATCATATTATTATGGAAATGTGTATGCAATCAAAGGAAGCTAATTATTGACTCAAATAAGTACCATATTTGAAACTCCCTGGCATTGATGGTGAGCCCATTGTTTATATTAATACTTACCTTATAAATTCAATTAGTAAGGTATCACGGTTCAACAGTTGTAAAAATCAGTTACCATATTTGACGGTATAAAATGCGCACTTTTTTTTTTACTAAAAATATCTTTTAAAATTCCCCTGCATCTTATATGCCATATGTAGCTTTAAAATTTGTGATAGTCAGCCAAAATTAGCTACTTGACAGCTCCTATTAGCTTAGACTTTAGAGTAACTATACCTATTGTCATTATTTAAAAGACTATTATGTAGATTAAGTGTTATCATTGATAATATTCATTATAATTTCATCACATTTAATATTAATACTTTGTTTCACTAAAATTATATGCAATAAATTCAAATTATATATTTGTAAAATATACTTGTTTCATTAATATTTTTCTTGCGCTAACTTCTGGTTGCATTGGTGTAAATGCAATCAGAATTTTTAGATCCGAATTATTCCAATAAGATGTTTACAAGATGCACGTTTTACAGATCATATAAAGGATATAATAAAAGTTTTTATAGGCTTGTGTTCTTTTTTTCCTATTATTTTTTATTCAGCTGTAATCATAGCTTATTTAACCAAAATAATACCTCATAAATATAGCCTAGGCTGTACCATTTACTAATAATTTGACTAATTACTAATTTTTCTTGATTTGCCCTGTTGAAATTGGGGTGCATCTTATACACTGTCAAATACGATAACTGATTTTTACAACTGTTGAACCTAGATACCTTATTAATTGAATTTATAAGGTAAGTATTAATATACACACTGGGCTCACCACTAATGCCAAGGAGTTTCAGAAAAATGTATATCTTAGATTTTAAGCATATTTTCTTCTTTTATATATCATATCTCTTCAGGATGTAGGCGAAAATGACCCTCCACAATTTCCTAACTTTTGTAAAATATTTTTCTGCTTACTATACCCCTGTCTCTGTTCTGCCATCCATTTACACAAGCTCATCAGGTAGGTTACTTGCTGTTTTCTTCTGCCTTCAGAATATCCTGTGAAAATCAAATTCTCAAAGCCCTCTTTGAGAAATTGTTCAGAAATTTCAACTGACTCTTTCTGATTCTAAGTACTGCCATTTTCCTGAAAACTGCCTAATTGTTTACATGCTTGTTTCATGGTATTTTCAACATCTTTCAATAGAACCACATCAAGTGCCTCAAGTCTCCTCTTCATCTGTGAGGAAATTGTCTAACATTCACTGCCATATAGAAGGATTGACATTTTATAGCAGTTCATCACTCATCTCTTTGTTTCTAACAAACATTCTCTTTTTCTTAATACTTTGCTTAGCCCTTTGAAAACCATCTTTTGTTATTCCAATGCCTCTTCGGATTTTTGTGTCACATTTTCTATTGTCTGTTATAATACTAACCAGGTATTTAAATTTCTATATTTACTTGATATTGTCTCTAGTTCATCTTACATTTTGGGCTGTCCCGTTTGATAATGACCACACATTTTGTCTTCTTACAGTTGGTGGTTAGTACTTTCTTCTCTTTTTTCATTACTACTTCATAAAGGAATTTCTGTAGTGTTTTTCTGCATCTAACATTAACATTGTATCATTTGCATATCTTCTATTGTTAAGATTGCGTTTGCCAATAATAAACCTTAGTAGGACTTCTAGTACTCTTAGGATTAACTCCCTGTATACAGTGAATAAAACTTGTGAGAAAATGCATCTTCGTTTTATACCCCTTTCTGTTTCTTTTGTACTCATTCAAGTCATTTCCTATTTGTACTTAGGTATCTTCCTCAAACAAAGCTTCTTGATTATTCTAATGTCTTTCATTTTAGAGAACATTAATCCCACTGAATTTGTTTAGTTTATCATAATCTAATTCATCTTTAAAATAAAGACATTTTATGAAAATATTGTTGCAGATATTACTAAGAAATCCATTTTTCTTTCATAATAACAAATTATTTTGATTTCAATTCTGAGTACATGAAAGGTTATTATGATGGATGGGGTGTTGGTTTTGGTCCTCTGAGAGGTCTCTGGCAGTAAAATGTCTCTTTCCAAAATTCCCTGGTGGAAATATTTCCTCCTCACTTATTCATGGTCAAAATATATTTTTTTTTTTTTTTTTTTTAAATTAGAAACACACGCACAAACATAATTTTTTTTTTTTTTTTCATTATTTCAGTGAAACTGATCTCAAAAATATTTCTCCATAGAGAAACAGGAATTGCTAGATAGATGGACAGATAAATATAAGAAGAAATGGAAAGAGATGAAAAATATGGTAATGCTATAGAGTCTTTTATATGAACAAAATTATTGAGCTTGATATAAGCAAATGAAGTTCTTGCTTTGACCAATATGATCAAAAGGTTTGATGTTTGTTCATTTGATCAGGAAAGGAGTTTTGTTTCTTGTTCTTTTTTAATAATTTCAACCCAAGAAAGGCGATAATACCACTAAGACACAAGGAGTTATTGGGAGTGAAAGAGAAATGAAAAAACCTTAGGAGATGGAACCAGAAACCCAATCTTAAACAGGTTAACAAGGGATAAACCTCTTACTCCTGTTCAAAAGAAGAGGAAAGAGTATAAAACAGAGAATAAGCAAAGCTATCACATAGAAATAATAAAAAAAAAACAAAATAGTTGGATGCAAAAAAGTTCTTTTTTTCTTTTGGGAAACTTTTCATTTCAGAAAAACTCAAAACCTGACCAACAATAAAAAAAAAAATTCCATTTGTAAAAATTATGGAAATTCATTACTTGCTTTCTTCTTATTTTTTTTTACATACCAAAAAATGATTTCTACTTTTCCAAGGAATAAAAACATTTTTAAAAAAAACACTCTATAAAACATGTCTACTTTGTTTGATAAAATTTTCTCCAACTGTTTGTAATTGTTATCTATTTTCTGCTTCTTATTTACTGCTCAAAATGTTTGTCATGTAATTGATCAAACCACGGGCCTTTTTTCTTAAATATACTTTTTCTAAAAATAATCAATTTAATGAGTCTCTTTTTTTAATTAACGTTTATAATTTAATAAAATTAATAATTTATTTTTCCCATCAGATTACTGCAGTTAAAAGTCCAAGGAAGATAATTTTTGTTTCCAAAAAACTTCACTGTTTTCCTTACATTATTGAATGTCATGGTATGACAATGATATAAAAACTTAAACGTGAATGAGCACAAAAGATCTTTGGTATTTCAGAGGTGAAAAAAAATAGGGGCATAAACAGAACACAGATTTTACAAGACAGAAAAGAAACTCAGTTTAAAAGAAAAGAACAGAAGGAATAGCCTTTGTTTAGCTTTCATTTTTATTAGAATGGAATGGCTGGATGTCAATTTTGATTTCTTTCCGGCAGCTCCAGTAGCCAAGCTGATGCCAAAACATATTGGTTTTCAAAATGTATGGCTGACAGGCCTTGGTAAAGCCAGAAGTGGATTAAATAAATTGCTCAAGTAAAAACACAATGGGAGAATCTCTCATGACACCTTGTATACGTGGATAAGAAAAAAAATGAAGAATCTTCTGAATTCATCTCACAGGTAGATAGGTATATTTTGAAAGGTAGGAAACCTTTAACCCATTTATGATTACTGTCACATTTTTAGGACATGGGTCATTAATGGGTTAGAAGTAGAAAACTATAATCAATACCAGTTTTGTTTATATACTTATCATTCATATATGATTTTTATTAATCTATAATTAATACTTCATTTCTTTATGGAAACCTATAATTAATATCAGATATTATTAGAAGATTATAATTAATACAAATTTTAGAAACTTATAATTAATACAATATTTTTAGAAATCTATAGTTAATATATTTTTAAAAACCTGTAATTAATATCAGATATTTTAGAAGCGTATAATT